CCGCGGTCAATATCGATTTCAGCCAATCAAATTCGTGAATTCGGTAGTTCCCAGTCTTTGTGAGACACAGTCATACAATAATTCATGTTACAGATGTCGAACAATACGATACTTCTCTGCATGTTGTTATACAAATGGAAGCAAATAAATTCTTTCTTGTTATCATCGCTGTTTTCTTTGACCCAGCGTTTCTATTCCAAAGAGGTTGTGGTTCTTTAGGCGCTTTTACTGACAAAACGTATTTCCAAGCAGACCGCCCTTTCTGTTTCGAAATTTCCTGATCAACGGATGAAAGGTATCATGCGGAAGTTCTGGGAAATAGACTTCTGTTTCCGTCTAAAACTAAAAATAACTTTAGTGGAATCGACAACGCCCTCAATGTCCCCCTCTGTCCCCTCGTTTTCTCTTGACTAAATGAACACACGATTGTTTCGTTTTAGTCATTATACCTATGTGTCAGTATGTGTTTAGGCGTTTTTGCTGCCTCCTATGTTAAGTTCGGCGATCGCCTTGACGAACGCTTAGCTTGTCCAATCTGCAAAAATGTTTTCAACCAGACATAGCACTGACTTCCTGCGGACACAGGTTTTGTAAAAATTGTTTGATCCTCTACTCAGTAGTTGATTATAAAAATATATCTTTTATAGTCATAATTAATCAGTACATCCTAAATGTTTCTACCAGACATTCTATCTCCCTTTTTTTTGTTTTTGTTTTTGTTTTTGTTTTTGTTTGTTTGTTTGTTTTTCTTTCTGTCTTTCTGATAGACTCAAACCTGATCGAGTCAGTGTTAAAATGACGTTTCTACTTAGAAATACATGTATGATGTCAGTCCGTGAATGCAACCCTGCGATCCGTAATACAGGAGTTGCATGCAGTGTTTACGAGTCTTTTGCGAGCTAGCCGGTTGGTTTCCGCAAATTGAAAAATAATTAAATATGTCTTGAAACGACAAGCAAGTGGAGAATGGGAACACTTGAAACAAGGAATGTATCTGTGTGCTAGATGCAATGAGGAAAAAAGATTTTTTTACTACAAATGAGAAGAACAGTGTATGGTGAAAGAGAGTGTCCAAACTTAAGATTAAGTCTGACGTTCTTATACTGCTAGACCAACACGCTTGAGGTACCCATTAGACGGAGAGACAATTGCGCCATCATGTTGATAAAGAAAAGCACTTGATCTGAAATGTTCCTGTCGATATGCAGGGAGAAATTGTGTTTGGAGTGGGGAACTGAGGCATCTGATGAGTACTGCACACAAGTTGTGTAGCACGAAACTAACTAGCAATAAAATGCCAGGTCAAATCTACACTTGATCAGTTCGTCATCTGTTATAATCACGCTCTAGTGTAGTATTGAGCACTCTGAAAACAGATCTGCAAATCAACTCGTTTATATGAAAGATCATACATGTGAACTGCGGAGAAAGATAACTGCGATAATCAATATAATCACGTCTTCGGGTTAATAAGATGTATACATCGTTAAAGGTAACACCTAAACTGTGCGGTGTTGTAAAACAACACCGCAGATAAGAAGTGGGGAAATTGATCCGTCAAACTAAAGCCGTTGGGAAAGTGTTGGAAACGGTTGCGAGCCAGTAGAAATATCATTTACTTAGATCGATCACTAGCTGTTAAGAGACATAGGACTTTACGAGAAAGTATATCTGTGTTGCGCCAGAAAGCATTTTGGCAAATTCGACAGTCACAAATTTTGGAACCAATTTGACAAATCCGTGTGCCAGCTGTTTGACCATACATGTATTTGGGCTTTCTTTTAATGCTGTATAAACTTAAAAGATATTTCATTTCTATTCCGACTCTAATACGCAAAAGTTAAAGCTTAGTAGAGCTCAGAACAACTTATGATGAAAAGTTCTGTTTTATTGATGAAGATAACAAGAAAACAAATACAAAAGCAGAAAAAGAACTATACATCCGACACATTATGCAAAGTAAAATGTATCAAAGCATCAGTCCAAAAAAAAAAAAACCGCAAAACATGGGAAAAAAAACAACTAAATGAGGTATTTAAAGCTATAAATATATAGTGTAGCAATAAACGATAAGTAGGGAGTAATACAGCAGTATATTATTTGAGAAGCAGTCCATAATTATTTTTTTTACGATATACATTAGTTAGCTCAGTCAAACAGAAGATGATGGGGTATGAGAGCTAACCCAAGGTAATCCCTCTGACCCAGGTCTCCCGCGGTAAATAGTTAATACACACGTTGTGTGGATGTTGTCGTGGCGGATCAAAATGCGCGTCGAGCCGTTTGAGTTGCCGACGTGAACAAAATTTAAAATTTAATTAAAGGGGTATACTGTACTTGAAAATGCAATTATTAGTAAGTTTTTATCTGTATAAACTATTTTTTTGTGTAAAGAAAAGGTAATTTATTAGAAGGAAGTAATAATTCCTGCTAATATCGAATTGAATCTAAAGTAGCTTTTAAGTATAACTATTGCGTTATTAAACATGGTATTTCTTAAAGAGAAAGAGAGTGAAATAGTAATATCAATAACGATTATGAAAAAAGCATAGCTTATGTTGCTGTTTCGATGATTAATATTTAATAATCTGATCTCGGTCAGCACGATGTTACTATGTCAAACGAAACTTACAAGTTGATGCAGACGTATATATTTCCATTCGAATTTCAGGGTAGTATGGTAGTGTCAACAATCTCCGATGAATACTCTAATCGAACAGACGTTACGTGCACGTGACGCGAATTAGTTAGTCACCCCCTAATGCAGCTAGAGAGTGAAGGACAAGAATACGTGAAGACGTGAAGAATACTTAATGGTCTTTATTTTCAGACAATTTACTTAGATTTTGCTTAATTTTAGCTACAAATATCCACGGCCAAATATCACACGTTCACTTAATTCTACTCGACACTCTCCTTCGACTTTACTCTCTAAATATATTGAAACCTTTGGTGCTCGTGTTTAAGATGACCAGGAAACTGAAACGAAAACTGCAATCAATCATATTCCCATTATATTGATTAATTTGTACCTCGCTATCTGTAACCGGTTCTGACAGTTTTTGACAGCTATTTTTGTTTTTTTTAATTTCNTTTTTTTTTTTTTTTTTTTTTTTGATTTCTTGTCCCGACAAACAGGTAACACATCGCCTAAATATACTTGCTTCCATTATCCCCGGTTTGTGCCGCGTGTCCACACGTATTGGAATCGTCAGGAAATCCACCTGAACCAAAGCCGATTCTGGAGTCGCATGTATAACAATCGTTTTGATTGTTAGCAGCGAAACCGATTCTTACTCTGGAATTAAGACCCCAGAGACAACGAGCATTAAAGCCTTCCAAGTTACAGTTCATCTGTAAGGAGGCCTGGGACCCAATTAACGTCTTCCACGTGTCACGACCAAGTGAAGTGGCGCGATGTTGTCCGTCAGCGAGCAGCGAGTACAAAGAGTCAGCTGTCTGGTTAATGGCAAGAAAATTGATATTTTCCTCGCCAGGGATCCTCATTCCGAGACATATCTTGGTGAATGGTGTGTCCCAGTAGCTCGCCAATTTAGTCTCTTCTGTATCAAAAATAGAGTCTGCTCCAGCAGGATTATATGTTTGCTGTTCGGTCCAAATGTTTGAATCATAGTGAAAGGTTCCCTAAACGACAGAATGTTTATACAACAATGCTGTTTTTAAAAGACAGCTTATATATTTTAGGCTGTTAATTAAACTAACAAATAAATACATAAATAGTTATAGACCTTAATCTTTTGAAAGTCAATAGACATACACGTTATGCAATTTGACAAAGTTTGAAAACGTCGCTCACATAGAGAAAATAGTATCTTTGCTTATCCATATCACGTGGCCTGTGCAATCATAAAATTACTTTTTATTACTTTTTATGGATGCTGGAATGTTTTCGAAGAATTAAAAAGATTTCGTGGAAATTGGCATTCAGTGCTCTAAACACTGTTTCCTTATATTTACCGTACTTATACCCGCAATTAACCAATCAGAAGCCGTGACTACTGTCCTGATATCATGCGATGTCAAGTCACTAGCCGTGTAAGCTTCGGAGGCATATGATATTCGTTTGGTCTCGCCATGGGTATTTTGGCTCAACTACGTTATACGTCGCGCCAAAATATAAATCATGGCTCGACCAAACTCACCTGATATGCCACCGAAGTGTACCAAAAAGGCACGATTAGGTAAAAATATTTTGAGTCTTCTGGTTGGTCTGTGAAAAGTAATCTCGTAATATTTAATTACTACAGTCTCTAATAACCTTTGAGCCGTCAATCTTCATAACAAGTTTCCAGTGATCTTCTCCACACACACCAAGACCACAGTATGGGTTCCCCTCGTTAGTCCTATGGAGTAAGAATGGTGCCTTCAGTCTTGAAACAAAATATTAAATTGTCATTCGTTATCCGGACGCTTTGGTACTTTATGTCGTGTTTTTTTTGTTTTTTTTTTCCCAACAATAGGCTCTTTGCAGCTGGGGTCACGTGACCACATTTTTTCTTTTAAAAATTTCTATTATGGGCTATA